CTTGCTATGGTGTCGTGGCATCGAGTCGAGGATGGACCAGGAAGGACAACTATGGTGTCTCGACTTATACTGGGGCGGTTATCTATGTGTTTGGTGTGCTCGTGTATTGCTATGTTCTACTTTGCAGAGTCCTACCAGTTCATGGCCTTGTGCAGGAGTGTCGTGTCTATTTCATCTTGGGAACAACCATGCTTTGGGAAAACTTGTTCAAGGTCAGTATTGTATTTTTCTCACTCGAGTTTACTTACTGAATTGTAATTATTCACTGCCAGACTAGCATTAAATGCTTGGGGTATTACGATGCAGTGAGGTGCAGTCCACTTTGGAGGTCAAGCAGTTGAATTTCATTGATTTGGCAAACCCGCAGAGGATTCGGAGGCACCTTTCTTGTGCATAATTGATCAACTGTAGAACATCTCTTGTTGAGCAAAAACTGGAAAGTTGTAGTACAACCTTTGTTGAGCTAAACTGTTCACCTGTAGCACATCTCTGGTTGAGCAAAACTGTTCAAGCTACATCACATCTTTAGATGCTTAGATCATCCATGTTTTTTAACACAGATCGTCCATCTTGTTTGCTGCTTGTCTGCCAGAGTTGTAGCAGAATGGATACGAACACTCCTTCTTGAACATAACTATCCAGCATCTTCTTTCAGCTTGTGTACATATTCCTTCGTTTGAGTATTTATGGATACTCACTTAAGTGTACATATACATATTCTTTGAGCCACCTTATAAGCACATACTCGCTCCGTCCCCAAATCTTGAGACACTTAGTTTAGGACGGAGAGAGTATTTCTTTGTTTGTAGCCTAATTGTATAGCCGATCAATTTGTGGCTTAACTGTAATGTCGTTTACTTTGTGGCTTAAGTGTCCATATTCCACTGAAGCATCACCGAAGAAAATTTTCGTAAAATCTAAACAATGTTGGCAACATTTGAAAAATGTTATTGAATTTTAAAAAGTTCACAAATCAAAGAAAAAATAGTCTAGGATTATAAATGAAGAAATTAAAAATGAACTCCAAATAAAAAGAGACAAGAAAAGGAAAAACATTTAAACCGACGGAGACAAACAGATAAGAAAAAAAACCGAGTGAACACAAAAAAACTGTTTTCTGTATATTTGGTCCAAGGCAGCACGACGTGGGTTGGTGCTTCTACTGCTCTGGTCTCTCGGAGCATCTACACCCGCGGACGCGTCCCGACACATCCGAGTACCTTTCATCCCTTAGATCCATGCAAAGCATGCAGAAGAAATCTGACGTACTACGCATATCATCCTGGTCTATACTACGCTTCGTCGTCAGAGATGTGCAGATCTCTGTGTCGGGCGCCGGGTAGATGGGATAATAGGACGGCTCCGGCTCCTCCTCCTCATCCATATAGGAGAGCATCTCGTCGACGTCCGCTCCCTGCTGCGCCTCCGCCTCCGCCTGGAGTGAATCGAGGACTGCCTGCTCCCTCGCCTGCCGATCCTACTCCGCGTCCTCCTCGTCGTCCTCCTCCTCCGGATCCACCGTGTTCGGAGGTAGCCCCGCGACAATCTGGGCTTCACGCCTTGCCCGGATCTACTCCAGGAGCTGTAGCCGGCACTCCGTCGTTAGATAAGAATAGCTCCTGACCCGTCGGCGTGTTGTCATGGCTACTTGATTGTGGAGACGAGTTTCAGACCGACATGTTTCCCAGTGTTTTTCTGAGGGACCCGCATGTCAGTCCGATGTGGCGGACGCACCCTGTGGCACCCGGGCCTCCCCATATCTGCCCCAAATTTGCGCTGGATATGAGGCTTGCCGGTCAGCCCAGACGTTTCTTTAGCACAGTAGAGGCGCAAGCGCTCATATACACGTGCATACACTCACCCCTATAGCACATCTGACAGACTGAGCCGGCATATCTATCTTAAAATTTACGAAGTCGCCGTAGGCACCTCGTCGTCGACGGGAACGTCTCCTCTCACTGAATGCGCATCGCCGAAGAAATAAATCCAGGAATAAATGCGAGCACCAGGATTTGAACCCTGATGAGCTGGGGATACCACAGTTCGTCTAACCATCCAACCACAGGTTAGTTTGCGTCAGCCCGGGCGTTTAAGACCCGTTTGAGGAGCCCGTCTGGGTCACAATTTTTTGACCGGGTCGTCCGCTTGGACTTTTGAGGCGTCCGGCTGTAGATGCTATGATCGTCGCTCTACGCCCCATGCCAGTGTCTCAACCTTGCTGCGGTGTGGTCGTGCCGGTCCTCGCTCCTGTCCCCTTGGGGAGCTTTCCCTGCTCTCACCGGTTCCCCGTGGCTCACCGCACATTTTTAAATTCATGGATTTTTACCAATTTTGTTCATTTCATGTAATCTACTTGTAATAAATTATTTCCTCAAGAAAAGACTTGTAATGAATTATTGTTGGGCCCATCTTCTAGATGCAAAGTCGTGGTGAAATGAAATTCTTCTCGACGAAAGAATTGCTAGTATGATAAAAAGAAACAAATGGAAGAAGAGGGAGACTAAACAGGAAACGGAAAACAGAACTGAAATACAGGTAGCCAAATAGCCAAACGCCACTAATGCCACGAGTCATTTTAGCACGTTTCTATTCAACATATCTGAAAAGCAGGAAGGTAGTTACACTACACAAGCGTCATATTACAAGATCAGCAAGATCACTATCTAAACTGGAAGCAAATGTTATACTAGCATATAAGATCAGATAGGCACTCGGCGTTTCTTCCTCCCGGACAAGTTAACACTTTGAGGTAGATCTTGAACAGAACTTGCAACGAAGTGTTCAAACCTTGTGTAAGGGGGTATCCTTGATTCCCATGCCAACAGACTGAACTCCCCTTTTGGTCTGTTATTCGGGTTTACCAGCAGTTCTCCAAGTGTCACCGTTTCCTTTTTCAACAGATCATTATTAGTCAGTCTGTTGCTGCTATTAGTACAGTTGGTGATGCGAACTGCAGACGACGGATGCAAAGCGAAGTCAGTTATGTCCACCGGATGACCTTGTTCAAAGAGCAGATATGGATATACACCGTGCTCGGATAGGTTCTTCTGAATCACTCGTTTGGTTTTGCCCAGTACGCAAAGCCAGAATTGAACATCCAGATTCCTTCTGAACACATCCGCGAATGCATTCGTCGTGACGAATGATCCTCCTGCCTGAAATATCTTTGCAAATTCTTCCGCGATCCGCACTAGCTGTGGGTGCTCTGATGGGTCTGCACTGCCAAACGTGAGTGTCTTGAAGAGGTACCAAAACTCCTCATAGGAGAGGTGACTGAGACAAATTGGCTTCACTGTCCCAAATCTTGCTATCCTTTGAAGCTTGCTTATGATGATCACCTTGCTTCCTTTGCTCATTCTTCTAAGAAAGGAGTAAAACTTCGCCCAATCCTCCTCAACTACATCTGAAACAAAATCAACAACCACCAAAGTGGTCCCTGATATGGTCCTCCTTCCATGCTCGATTATTCTCAAGAGACTATCTCCGTTTAAATGCAAAATAGAAGCGAAATGTGAGCGGACCCTCTCGTTGTCGCAGACATGAGCAACCAACGTTTTCTTTCCGACCGCGACGCCACCAATGATCGGGAGCACGGCTGGAAAATCACCGGGAGGGTCATGTTGCAGCAAGAAGCTCAAGAGTTGCTGCTTCTCTACGTGCCGGCCAAACATGAAGTGGTCCGTATAAAGGTAGGCATCATAAGGCCTGCCAGACATCCGCTCACATCCACCCAGAAACACAACAAATTCTGCCATGTTTGCGACAACAATCTCCAAGCTTTTCAAGGCACCATGTAAGTCCGGGTGAATGGATCTGTCCTTTTCTTTAGACGCAGTTCTTCGAGGACGCTTGAAAGGGAAGGATAAATATGAGACGCTGGATGAGTCGCTAACCTCGTCGATGATACTACTCTCAAGTAGTTGTTGGACATTGAAGGCGTCCAGTACATGATGGCCTCGGTACATGGCCTCCGAGAGCATCTTGAGCTGCATCAGCATCCCGGAGTTGGCGATGCATCGCCGATCCGCTTCCTCGACGACGGTGCCAACTCTAATCAGGAGATGCTGAAGCTTCTCCGCCAACTTCTCCTCCTCTAGTTGTGTATGGCTATGGGACTGATACTTGTTCATCAGGAAGGAGATGAACCGGCTCACAAGTTCACTTGTAACGGCAGAAATGGCGACCTCCATGGCGATGGAGTTGATTGTTCGCGCGGAAAGCGATAGGGAAGCTCGGCTTTCAGACGAGCTTGGTCGTGATGAGTGCAAAGGCTGCTTGCTTGCCCGAATTGGCCTCTGCCACTGGACACACAAGTCTCCATCCGACATCCGTGACATCAAGGGTCACACCGCATGGCACGCCAACTACGACGGTATATATCCATAGAATTCAGCTGTTCAAAACACACTCGTTCTCCCTCCGTTCAACAACATGTTTTTCTCATTTGCAAATATTAGTGGTAACATTTTATTTATACTAATTAGAGGCTATTTCCAATCACCATGGTAACTCGTTAATTTAGAAAAGGCTTGATGATTCGGACGCGGCGATTTGGCTCCCTGATGCCCCTGTGGATGAAGAAATTTCAAAATAATTAATCCGAATCCAAACTTTTTTAACATGCAAGATGCACATGCCAAACTTAGCGGTGTTTGGACATTTGAGTAGCTTTCAAAAGAAGAAAAACAGGCATGTGTGGAAGTTTTAGAAAATGCATTGTTTGAAGCTCATTTTGTCTTTTTTGCCACGAGCTCCTCGAATCTCATTTACCCACGAAATTTGGCATGCACCTGGCTCACTCAAACAACTTGCATGAAAAAAATCAGATTTTTTTGAACATATTTGCTATTTTTTTTTATTTTACTGTTCAGTGGAAGCAGATGAGCCCGGGCTCAAAGATGAATTATCGTGATGATTCTTACTACTCATTGGGAGACCTCCACCTCCGTAAATTTTATTTCTATAAACTTCGTCAAATTTTACAGAGTTTGGCATTAAAATCTAAGACAGGCTACATTTTGAGGCGAAGAGAGTACAATTCGTCTATAGAAACTACATGTAGCTTTTTTAGGGAGAGAACAACTTGAGCATCTGCACTGACTCGTCACTTACTTCAAACAGATTGGGCTGTTTTACGCCTTGTCGTCAACAGGAACGTCTCCTTCCACTAAAAGCGCATCGCCGAAAATCTTGAAATAAATCCAGGAATAATGCGAGCACCAGGACTTGAACCCTTGTGGGCTACGGATACCACTGTCCCTCTAACCATCCAACCACAGGTTGGTTCGCATGTGTCATAGCTTCAAAAGGTTGTTGTTTCTACTTCAGATCATCACACAAGGGAAACTAGTTCAATTTTTTCTAGGCAGAAAACTAGGGTAAATCTTGTTTGGCGCTATAAGCGTCAAGGAGAGTGCAATTGGTTTTTGTTTGAGACAAAGAGAGTGCAATTGGTATGAGGGGCACACCCCCAGCAAGCAGATTTAGGTAGTGGGCTGTCCCATGTAGCAGGGCAT